TGTCTGGCCGCTGTGCAGGTCCATGGCCAGCACGCGGTCCGCACCCGCCTCCGTTATCAGGTTGGCCGTCAGCTTGGCGGCGATGGACTCGCGGCCCTGCGTCTTGCGGTCCGCGCGCGCGTAGCCGTAGTAGGGGACCACCGCCGTGATGGAGCGCGCAGACGCGCGGCGGCAGGCGTCGATCATCACGGCCAGCTCCATGAAGTGGTCGTTGACGGGGGGGCTGGTCGGCTGCACTAGGAACACGTCAGCGCCGCGGATGCTCTCGCCAAGCTGAGGGGTTGCGCGCAGGGGAGGAGAGGAAGAGAGGGAAGTGGACGGGGCCGCTCTCAGCCTGCTTCCTGGCCGCCGCACGGCTTGCCCGCTGCGGCTCAGTACCCACGCAGGAGCCATTTGCGTCACGCCGGCCCGCCAGGGGAGCAACAGTTTTCCGCCCTGGCCCGCACCTGGACGTAGATCTCTCCGTCCGCAAAGCGCTTGATCTTGATCTTGCCCAGATCCATGCCCAGGTATGACGCCACCTCCCCCGCCAGAGCCTTGAGTTGAGGGTGCAGGATTGGCAACACCGACACCCCCGCAGGCATCAGCACGCAAGCAAACCAGTGCGTGGTTAGGCCAGCGACCGCGAATGCATGTTGGCGCCCATGCGCGCTTCCATCAGCAGGGAAGGCAGCAAGCCGCAAATGCGGGTTTTGGGACGGGCGCTGCGCGAGATCCGCTGCCCCCGGCCCCCAGCGCCGGCCGCCCCACCAGCGCCATGCGGCCGCCCGCTGCTCACGGGGTTGCTGGTGCCCGAGAACAGCCGCAGGCGGCTGCGCACGGGGTGCGCCAGGTGCGGCGCCGCTGCGCGTGCGGGCCGCGAGTCCTGCCAGCCAGGCACCTCCAGTACCGCGCGACCGGGCACGCGCCCAGGCAGCACCGCGCCACCGGCGACAGCTGCGCCGTTGGCGTCCGGGGCGCTGTTCGAGCTGGGCGCCGTGGGCATCGACACAGCAGCGTGGACCTCGGCGGTGGTGCCAAAGCGCAGCCTGCGCACAGCAGTCTGGCGCAGCCGGCCCGACCCGGGCTGCAGAGCGCCCCCTGCGCGCGTAGAGAGGTCGCGAGCTCAGCTGCCAGCTGACAAGGCAGCCACGACCCCCACGCAGCTCGTGCTGAGTGCGCGCTCTATTTGAACCTTAGCTTGTCGCCTGCGCGCTGCTGGCCACGCCGGTACTGGATTTGGTTTAGGCCAAGTAACCTCCTTTCCGTGGTGCCGGCCGTCAGAGGCGTCAGAGGCGCAGGCCGCAAGCGCCGCCTGCGCCGGCCAAGGTAGCTGCAGGTCCCGGCCTATGCCGGAGGCTTCTAGGGTAGCCGTTGGCTACAAAACACCCGTGCAATGGATCAAGAGGTTCCACCCGCGCGCTTCTCCTTCTTCAAACACAGCGGGATGCCCCGCGAGCTCCGGGCATGCACGGAACAGAGACGCACCTGAACCGCTTATCAAGCCCATCTTTTCAGTCCAAGCAGTCTGCCACACGCGGGAGGCCTGCATGCTGTGATCTCAGGGGGCCCAGCGCCCACTCGTGTGTATGAACGGCGGCCTGATTCAAATGGTAATGCTTAGTATTAGATCCGTCCTAGCGAACAGTGCAGGGTGTTCGAGGAGCCACGCGCCGCACTTCCTGTTTCCGCACACTGCCGGGCTGCTGCGGGTTCTGCGCAGCGCCGCCCACGTCCCAAGAATGCGGCAAGATGACATCGGGCGCGACAGGCTGAGCCGCAGCCCTGCTGCATTGCATACCCCGGTGATACAGGTGCGCACTAGTAAGGAGCGGTGCGGACGGGCAGGGCGGGTGGTTGGAAGCACATGCAAACAGTGCAGGGTCATCCAGCGCCGCGCTGGCGACTCATCTGGGCTGCGTGCGCAACCGCCACAGCCACAGCCACACTGGTCTTCATTGCTCTTCCACAGTGTTTGCTTCGCATACACCCTTTGTGTCTTGCCGAACTCGCCCAAAGCCCGAGCCTTGCGCTGGGATCTGTCGGACAGGGGCTGCAGGCACCCCCTGCGCCGTTCAGTGAGTGGGCCGCCCGGCCCCCGGAACCCTGGGCCGCCCGGCCCCCGGACCCCTCTACGCAACCCCAGTCAGCCTCTACATACACCCCTCTCCCCCTTCTCAAACCTCTTGCCGCAGCCACCCCCCCAGCTGCGCCTGGCCACCTCCCCGGCAGAGCTGGAGGTGTTGATGCCGTCGTCCTACCCAATAGCGCGCTTCCGCCGCCGCAGCATCGAGGCGCGCGGCATCCGCGTCGGCTACAAGCCGCGGCCGGGGGAGGTGCTGCAGAAGCAGCCGCCGCAGAGCGTGGCAGCGGCCGGCGCTGGTGCGGCTGCGGCAGCGGGTACGGCGACTCCGGGAGTGACTGCGGTGGCGGCGCGGGCCCCCTCTGACAGTTACCTCGAGGTGCGGCTGGCTAGGACCCCGGCATGCCTCCTCCCTGAGGCGCGTTAATAGGAGTGCATCAGCGGGGCTGCCAACCTGCGCGACGACCGCAAGGGTCCCACTGCCTCGGGCAGGCAGAGAGGTGCAGCTTGGGGAGCTGCCACGCCCCTGCCGCCCGCCAGCGACTGCAGCGCCGACTGACAGCCGTCTTTGTTTTTCCCGCATCACCTGCGGCCATGCGGCCCGTCACTGTGCCCGCAGGTTGTCCTGCCTTTTGCCAGCAGCCAAAACCTCAGGGATGAGGTGAGCAACGGGGACGGCGCCGTGCGCAAGGCGTGCCTCCCACGTCGCAGCCACTGGTCTTGAGCAGCCTCAGGTTCCTGCCTTGTGCTCCTCGGGTGCTGCCAGCTGCATCGCATCTCAACTTGTTCCGGCCAGGCCACACCTCCAGGCTGCCAGCTGCGCACCCCCCGCCATCTCCCCCCTGCCCCCCGCTGCTCCGCGCCGCCCCGCCGCAGTACGAGCGCTTCCAGATGGGCCGCGTGCGTGTGGGCCTTGTGCTGGAGGACATCGACTCATTCGCAGCCGACATCGCGGCGAGGCACCTGTACGGCGCAGTGCAGGTCACAGGCCACACCCCCGGGATCAGGGGGTGGGGCTGGGGGGCGAGGGGGAAGGAGGGGCATGACTCGCGGGTGGGGTGCGTGAGTGGGAGGAAAAGCAAGGGCGGCCCCGGGGTCAGCAAGGTGGCTTGTCATTGATTCGCTGGCTCATGGAGCCTTGGACGGTTGGGGTACCCAACCGGACACCCGCTAGCCGCCTCTTGGCCCACCTCACCGCCCACCCACCACTTGCCCCGATTGACACCACCCCAGAACTTTGCCATTGTGACCGCTGGCGTGGACCGCCTGCAGCTGGTGACTCACGAGCAGCACGTGCAGCAGCTGCGCCTTGGGGCGTGCGCCAATGCGGATGGCTGCAACGGCAACGGCGCCGAGCCGCCCGCGGGCTCACCCTGCCCTGCTGCCACGGCAGAGGCGGACGGGGCCGTGTCAGACGGCGCCGATTGGGCAGCGCCCCCCGCGCCTGCAGCGCTGGACGAGGCAACGCGGCGTGAGCTGCAGCGGGCCGTGGTGGAGGCGCCGGCCGGCAGCGACCAGGCGTGCGGCGGCCCCCTGCTGATTGACAACGACCTGCGGCTGGCGGGGTGCGTCACGTGGGTGGGGCGCAGCAGCCTGGAGGTCACCATAGAGCTGGCAGACCGCCCCAGGGCCCAAATGGAGGGGGCAGCAGGTGCTGGCGGCGGCGAGGCGCCCGCCTTGGGCGCGGAAGGGACGTCGGGCAGCCGCGGCGGGTGGCGGCGACGCGGCGTGGCGCACTTCATCCTGGTGGCGCGGATAGACCCTGCGGGCGGTGGGGCGGAGCGCGCGCCGCAGCTCGTGGCGGCGACGCCCGAAGAGGAGGCGCTCCTGGCTGAGGCGGCCGCACGCCAGGAGGAGCGGCGCGTGAAGCGCGCGGCCGAGGCGGACGCGTCTGCGGCGCAGCTCGCTGGCGCGCCGCCCACCATCGGCCCCGACGCGCTGCTGCTGCAGCAGCTCGTGGCGCGCGCACGCGAGCAGCAGGCGGAGAAGTGGCAGCAGCAGCGCAGGGGCGGCAGCGGTGCCGGCGCGAGTGGCGCGGACGGGCCGCAGGCGGTGCCCATGGGCACGACCGCGCTGCGCACGCCCGTGATCATGCACCACCAGGACCGCAACATCACCAACGCCGTGTTCGGGGGCCACGTGAGCTCTTGAGCCCGATGCCGGGTGGAAGAAGCGCCGGCTGGAGCCATTTCGAACAGGGCACGCCGCTCAAGGAGGCCCTCTGGATGCTGCCTGTTCCCTCCCTCAACCCCACCCCTTGGGACAAGCCCGGTGGCACTAACAACCCGGAACGCGACAGGGGGCAGCTGCGGGGCCAGCAGCACCGGGGGCCGGCGCGTGCAACGTCAACGACAAAACCCTTGTTGCTACCAACCACTCTGTCGCACACCCTGCCCCCCATCGGTGACAGCACCGCTGCATTGCAAACATCCCTCCCTCCCTCCCCCGCCCCCGCTTGTCCCCCTCGCCGTGACTCCCGTCCGCCCAGATCCTGCGCAGCGCGTACGAGGCCGCCTACGCCACCGCCGCGCTGCACGCGGGCGTACACCCCGAGCCGCTGTCAATGAGTGACATCACCTTCAAGCAGCCCGTCACCGTGGGGTCCATCGTCGAGTTTGATGCCAAGGTGGGCTGTGGAGGGGGCAACAATGGGGCTGGATTGGGCGGGGGGGGGGGCAAACGGGTGGGCGAGTCAGGAAGCCGCACAGTGAGATGGGGTAAGGGTAGGGTGGACAATTGTTTTGGGCTCTGCCAAGGGGCAGGGATAGGGGGGTTTGCAATGAGCAAATCGCAGTGCGACAGCGCCGTCCCTTATTCAACAAGCACCACTTAATACAGCCGCTTGCAAGCTTGGCAACCAGATCTTTCCCCCCCCCCCCCAGCATTGTCCCTGCCGGCCTGCTGCCCCCTTGACACCCAGGTTGTCCTGACGCATGGGGACCTGATGCGCGTGTCGGTGCAGGCCATAAAGCACGAACCAGCCACCAGCCCCTTGGGCCGGGGCGTGCCCCAGCGTGCGCAGCAGGCGCTGACCACAACTTTCAGCTTCCTCTTCGCTGCGCCACAAGGCGCCGTGGTACCGCCCGTGCGGCCCGACAGCCTGGCAGACGCAGCAGACTGGCTGGTGGCGGCACGGCAGCACACAGAGGTGCGTGGGCCGAGGACCTGTGCGCGCCTGCACGTTTTGGGGGTTAGGGGGATGGAGGAGCATGTGTGGGGTGGGTGGTTGGATTGGGGAGGGGGGCTCTCAAGCGCCTGAGCCCGGCATCCGCGAACATCATCTGAGACGCACAACATGAAACAATAGACACACTACCTGTTTCATGCCGACCTGCACACTCCAAATCAACACGGCTGATGTTGCGGCTTCCCTGTGATGCAGGAGGGGTACCCGCCGCCGCCTGTCGCCGCCTGGGGCTCATCACCGCGGCCGCACATGTGAGCGTATGCAACCCTGCATGGAGATTGTGAGAGCACAACGAAGAGGCTTCTCAGGCGGAGAGGAAAGCAAGCAATGATGGTATGTTGGGGCCGATGAATGAGGTTGGCAACGCGAGACATAATGTTGTCAAGGGCAACTCAGCTCATCAAACCCAGCGCTTCTCCCCTGCCACCACTTGCTCTTCCAAGGGCTCGCTGATCGCAGGCCGCGCCGCTCGATTGAGCGACAATGGCTTAGGGTGAAGGCACCGCAGAGTAGCCAGCTGATCAGCAAGATTCATGGCGCCGTTTTCTCCTGCCAAGCACCTCCCCTGCCTAGGAGGCATGCAATGGTCCCGTTTTCAAGGTCTTTCCTCTTGGAATTGGCGGTACATGGTGGCATCACGAGTTGCCTTGAACCGCGTTGGCGGTTGACCGAATCAAGTATTGGGTGAGCATGTCCCCCCCTGCACGCCTGCTGACAACAGTTGAGTTTATCATGTGTTCCAATTTGGCCCCTCAGCCACAAGCAGAGTGGCCAGAGCGCGCAACATATGGATGAGTGGAAATGGTACATCAGTTTTTGTATTTGTAATCCGGCAACATGCTTACACAGCCCATGGCCCATTTTTTGGGATCATTCCACGTCTGCTCATGCTTGTCTTGCGACTGTCCTTGACCAACCGCCAGAATCCCTAGTCAGCAGTGCTTCCACAGGCTATGACAGGCGCTTGCCGTGAAGGCACTGCACGTTCCAAAGATTAGTGCACTGGCTAGGCTCCAGGGGAGGGGCGCCGAAGGCGTAGCTGCTGCGGCAGCTGGCTCGCAGCCAAGGCCACGGTGCTGCTCGGAGAGCAGCACCTGGCAGGCAGCTGGTGTCCCACCAGCTGCCCTTCGCCGTTGGCTCTTCTGGGGTGGCAGCAGTCACTCTCCAGTTTCGTTTCTTTGTGCTTGGCAGCACAAGTGGTGTTTAGTCAGCTACTCAGCCCAATGAATTTGCCCACCCGCTGACAACCGCCGGTGCGCTGGGCGTCACCCGGGCGCATAGCGCTTCGAGGGCCCATGCGCTGGGCGGCCGCGAAGGCCGCCCACCACACACCACTTTCTCGCCGGCACTTGGCAGCGCGCGCGGTTTACACCGGTTTTTCAAAGGGGGTTCGGGGCAGGGCGCTTTGGCTGCAGTGGGCCGCCGCGGCTTTGCCGCGGCGAGCGTTCTTTTTCTTTGCCGCTGTAAAACATCGGCGGACTTGGCTTTTTGGCTAGTCAGCTGTAGCAGCAGCCTCCCCTCCACTGGAGGCACTCACACCGGCGCAACTACACAGCCAGTGTGTAGCTGCCTGTGTGCAGCTCGCCTGTCGTACACGCGACATGGTTACTGTCCATGGCCACAGAGCCGCGCTCATGCACATGTGCAAGCCAGATTGTCACAGCCTGCCCTTGACCCAATATCACAAACAGCGGCAGCCATCATCTCAAGTGAGCGGCTAGTCACGTGCAAACTTGCACCTGGACCCAGTGCACACCTCCCCTCCCGCCGTCACTGCGGTTGACGATGAACCCACGGTTGGTTGCAGGCGGGGAATACCGATTGAGCATCATGAAAGCGATGATAAACGCCCTCAAAATCTGCTCGCGAGTCCTGCCTTGCCACCCAGTCGGAGAGGCTGACAGACACCGAGAAGAAGGCGGAACGGCAGTGATCTGAATCAGCCGGGAAACGCCTTCAACTGGCCCTCGTGACGCGATCCAGCTCACTCCACGATCATTGTCGTTACTCTTATCCTTCTTCCACCCCGCCACACCCCTCAGCAGCGGCAAAAATGCTGTGCAGCAAGGTCCAGACCGCGCCGGTCGCCAAGGCTGGCCTCCGCATGGCCCTGCCCCGCGTGGGTGAGTTCATGAGTCCCGACAGAGACTCTTGGCAGCTCGTCGGCAGCCTCACCTTACGCGGAGATGCGGAACCCGGCTGTCGTGGGGTTCTTGGCCTTCTAGTGATGCAGCCTTGCAGAGGGTGCATTGCTGGATGCACCGCAGCCCAGGTCACATTGCTGGCTCGTGCAATGGCACGACGCTGTGCACTCCTCCCTTCAGCCTTCCGGTGTTGCCACGGGGGCTCCTGCGAGCTCGGAGCAACCTACGTATGTTTGCAACCTTGACGATTCACGGCGTCTCGATACTGCCTTCCAGACTGCGTATCGTCGCGATCCTTGCCATCAGTGACAAACGCCCACTGTGCCCTCGGGCCGCTACGCTTGCTGTTTGCCTGCAGGCGCGGTGCGCGTCAACGCGTCGATGCAGCAGCAGGCCAAGAAGGCGGCTGCCTTTGTCGCGGCGGCCCCGGCCATGCTGGCTGCGTCGCCCGCGATGGCCATTGTGAGTGCACCACTTCTCCGGGGAAGGCCATTTGTCAGCGACGAACTAAGCCTGCATGCCGTCATCCGCCGCCGCCCCCACCCGGCGCCTTGACGATCCCAGACCCACATGCTCCCTGCTTACAACGTCTGCCGTGCACGGGCAGGTTGACGAGCGCCTCAACGGCGACGGCACCGGCCTGCCCTTCGGTGTGAACGACCCCATCCTGGGCTGGGTGATCGTCGGCGTGGCGGGCCTCGTCTGGGCGCTGTACTTCGCCGCCCAGAAGGACTTCGGCAACTTCGAGGACGACGAGAGCGGCCTGGGCCTGTGAACGCTCGCGGCGTAGAAAATAGCAGCGGCTTTGTTTTTTGGGCCCATGATGCCGTCCGACCTCGCCTGCAGGCAAAGTTGATGGCGCAAAGGGGGCCGAGGCGTGGCCAGGTGCAGCAACGGTCCCCGTTCCCTCCGCAGCAGGACCGGTGCAGCGCGCTCACGAGCCACGCCGGTCGTGATTTTGTTGTGCGTCACGCCGTCACTTTCGGGCGGGCCCTTGCCCTTGCCTCCAGTCTTTTTGCCATGGGGCTGGCGGTGTATGCAGTGCGCCACAGGGCGCCACACGCCCAACCCATCTTGCCTGCTTCATGGCCCCTCACCCTTTGTGCGCACAAGCACACAGCTTTTGAGCGAGATGCGTTCATCCCTGTAATCACAACAACTGTAGTCATTTTTTTCATCACTATCAAGGACGTGGCAGAGGAATACGGGGAGAGATTGGTGCACGGGTCTACAGCTGTGTGAATATATGTGCGTTTCTATAGGGAGGTCCACAGTTCCTTGTGAAGGACTCTCGAAAATTTGGTACCATACAACAGGGACAGGAGAGAGAAAGCTAGCCGGTGTTGTGGCGCCTGTGGTAGCTGATATGCTGAGGCCAAGGCAGTCGAGCGGTGTGAACCCTTCCCTGCGCGTGACTCGACAGCTTCTGCATAGCTGTTTCCATGTGGGCAGAACGCGACGAATATGCGCGGCCCGCTGGACCCTTATAAAACGACACCGGCAAGCTCTGTATGAACAATGCTGTTGGTGTAGACCGCAAGCAAACACTTGCTCACGCCTGCTGCAGCGAATTAGCGTAACTGCACCCTTCTCATCCCAATCCCTAGCACCACTCGCCGTTCTGTGGCGCAGTGGATGCTCTGTTTACGCGGTCTTTCGTCCAGGATGGGATGACCAGCGTATCTTGACACCCCCTGTCTACCGCCGCCACCCCGGTCATCCTGCAATGGGTATTTTGGCGGGCATGTTGGCGCGCAGTTGTTTGGAACCACGTGACTTTTGCCACGACGCCTTGTATAGGAGGACGAGTGCAGGGCAACGTCCCCTTGACAGGCAGCTACCCTTCGGCTCCTACGCTCGACACCTGGACACGTGTGAAAGCCACAAAGGTTAGATATACCGTGTTGCACCTTTGTTAGCTGATAGCTTGGCTCGATTGGCTCGGCGTTCAGCTTAGCATGAGCTGATCTCATCTTTGCGAATTGATCGTCATCATAGCCCCGTGCCGTGTCCATTCAAATCTAAACGTACAACTTTCTCTCTTTTGGTACACTTCGCACGGGACGCGACGCCCTTGGCTGGTTCAACCGTACTCCATCCGTGTCTTGCGGCCTGTAGACTGTTGCAGCGACGCCAGAAAGTCGGCAGGAGGTCCGCAGGACGTGCAGCTGTAGCTACGGGCTTCGTGGCGGTGGTGGCAAAAGCGTTGGTCTTGCAAAAGCGCCGGTCTCGGCACGCGCGCGCCGTGGCGCGGGGCAGCCGGGCGGCGCGGCGTTACGCCCAGGCAGCCAGTCGGTCGCCATGGACAGTGATTACAGTGATGAAGGCTATGCGGGGTCATCGGAAGAGCAGGATGCGTCTCTGATGGACAGCGACGACGACTATGCGTTCGACAACGCAGCCGCGCCATTCTCTTCCAAGAGCAAGGTCGGGGCACCACGCAGCGTGGCGAGGGCGCATTTGTTGCGCGCTTGCTCGTGGCTGCAGCACACGGCTATGCCGCACGCACGTCTTGGCAGGAACATTTACTCGTGGTCAAGAAAGCAGCAGGTGCGCGGCCGACGCCTCCTCCCCCCCACCCAAACAATCACCCCACCTCTTGTGCCCGCCTCGTGCAGGCGCAGTATGCTATCTTGAAGCGCGACGATATTGTACAGCGGCAGAAAAAGGCCATCTCTGAGGTGACCTCCATCCTGGGGCTCAACGAGGATGAGGCGACGCGCGTGCTGCGCAAGTTTAAATGGTGCGCGCGCCTGATGTGGCATGACGCCATGGGGAGGGCAAGACAAGGGGGTGTGGGGCTCTGCACGTACTCATGGCAGAGGGTCGCTGCCAGAGCGGCTGGATTACAAACAACGCCCGTTGACTGCGTGTGCAGGCGCTCATCATCGCGGCACCCGTTGAACAGGCGCGCCCTGCCTTCACCCCCCCCCTTTGCCTGACCCCCAGGGACGTCAACCGTGTCAATGAGGAGTGGTTCAGTGACGTGGAGGCGGTGCGCAAGGCGGTGGGCATCCTGGAGGAGCCTGCGCCAGAGGGCCCCGGGGAGAGCAGCAAGGTGGGGGCCTCGGGATGGTGTGGCCCTGAGCCGGTCGGGAAGTGGGGGTGGATGAGTGTTGATTATGAGGTGCAGTCGCAGTTTGTGTTTGACTCATGCAACGTGGCTGCGGTACAGCGCATGAATCATTGTTGTTGCGAGCGTCTCCATGTGGCGCGTTGGCTGGGCGGTTGTGCCGCTTGGCCGTTGCGGCCGCTGAGCGCTGGGACGATTCTGGGTGTGGTCTTTGGCAGGGGAAGGGCGGTGGGCGCCACCTGCACCGCGTGAGGGGGCTGCGCGTCAAACCCCACGTGCCATGTGCCGGGCAGGGAGCAGTTGTGCTGCCACCATATCGAGGAGTACAGCTCTTGATAGGGCAGGGCATCCGTGACTGCAAGGAACGCAGCCCGCGGCTTCAGCCACAGTCCCAGGCAATTGCACAGCCGTTTGTGCCACATCAAGGGCTTGGATTGCGCCCAAGCGCACACCAACGGCTGCACGGCACCGCAGCACCCCCAAGCACCTCGTTGGCTGTGCGTCGCCCCTCAGCTTGCCACCTGTGTCATTGTCGTGGTCCACAGCCTACGCACTCTCAGATGTCCCCTCACGCGCTGCCACCTCTCTCCCTCGCACCCCCCCCCCCCCCCCCC